GCACTCATTACGCCACTACGATTCTGAATGGAAGTCGAGAGCGGCGGCGCATCCCTCAGACGGGATTGATTGACTCCAGAAAGTTTATCCTTTATTATTTTATTAGACTTTCTTTCAATATGTACGGCTTTCATCCAAGCACATAAAGCAAGTTATCAACATTAAGAACGGGGCTGCTTGACTATGATTTTTCTCAAAAAACACGCCTAAAGTTGCTGTGACATCCGGTAGGACAACGAGCCAAGGGCTCCGTTATCAACTGGCCAATCCTAGAAAGACTGTTTGATTGATTTGGACGAAATTCGATCCTTTATTTAGTCCCGCTGAATAAACTCTGTATTTTTGACTCTATGCAAACATGGAATGACCACCCATGGAAGTACCCAGGAATACCTTGACTGTGTTCAACAACCCAAGTGGATTTTGCCGCCTCACTTGGAACGCGCTCTGAGTCACTCCCACTGGGGCGTGGCAAGCCATACACTTTTCTTGACGACTGAGCGAGGTGTGCTTTAACTGTTAGCCTCGCTTAATGGCGAATACTTGCCGTTATCTTGGTAATGTGCAGATAGTTCTTTCTCGATGTGTGATACCGGTTCTCCCAAATGGGCAAATTTATCGTATATTATCGCCTTCAGGTTTTTGTTTTGGCTACATAACCATTATTCGACTGTTCGATTACGGAAATTCGTTGTTCGGTACAACTATTCGAATGAGTTGAAAACATTGAAGTTTTTAATTTCGTTTTTTGACCAAGAAGGCCGTGGCGGTTCTCGAGGTCACCAATTGTCGTCGCTAAAGACAGGCATCTAAACGACAAACGAGAATGGCTTCGCTGGCACTTTAACTCGATCATTCCCTCAATTCAGGGTCATGCGCAACAGTGAGGAATTCCTTCCTCAAAAAATGACCTCTCGCACCGCTTTCCAACTTTAGGGCGACCTTAGTCAAGACCTCATACTTCTGCACCTTCGATGCAGGTTGAGATGGGGTGGGCAGGATAAAATGACAAGACGTCACTCATTTCGGTGAAGAATTCAACCCGCTTAGTGAACTTTGTCTCAATTCCATCCCCTTCCTCCCCCCACCACCGTACTCTTAATGAACCTACAGTGTAAAAAAACTTCTTAAGTTGAGGCGTGTTCTATGTTCTGGTTTAACCAGTGATTGAACATGCTACACGATCTTATCGCTGGTCTCAATCTCTCGGTTGTTTAGAAAACCAGTTTTTACCTTTCGTTCACCCTCACGGATCATTTTCTTTCGAACAGAAGCAATACGCAGATAACTAGCGTGACCGTCAGTTTCAAGACGACCTCCAATACCACGAGACTCACTCTACGCGCCTTACTACAGCGAGGGTAGTTTTTGTTGCGGAGTCATGCTTTACCCTTTTGTCAATCTTTGTATTCGATGGAGTTGAACCCGTTCCTGGGGTGTACCCCTACATTCGATTACCGTTCAGAATCGTAGTGTCGCTTTGAATGCGTATCTTCCAAGATTAGGCTGGGGACGAACAAATGTCCCCGTAGGGATGAAAAGCTTAGTTGACTCAGGCGGGACCTAGAATTCAGAATTCGATCCCTGAACCGTGCATGTGACAGAACTGGCCACTTGCCATGAAACCACCTTCGCCCCCACGTTCAATTCCATTGAGGAGAAACTTGGAAGTTGTAAGTGTGGAATAGTTAATACACCATCTTTGACCTGGTGGACGTACCTCATGGACAAGTTTCAGGTTGTAGTGTTTGCTTACCCCTCCCCCACATTTCCGAATGTTTTTTGAGATCCAGGGGGTTGTATTTATAGAATGAAACTTTATAACGTTTCTGGTTTGCCCTATGTGATACTCTAACCTTCTTCCCTAAGTACCAGGCTCCGCACAATTATCGAAGTGTTCCAACTTTTTGTGATTTCTCATGTTCTCTCCTCCGTTTTCCACTTTACCCACGGAATCACTTTTCGCGACCGTTTGCAAGACAGAAAAAAACGCGGAGCATTTCCACGCCCGCCACTCATTTTTGACGCCTCCCACGCTAGTCGTCACTCGTATCAAATTCCTGGGCAGCGGTATCTATTCTAGGCGATGTTTTCCAGTATACTGTCGTAGAGCCTCCCATTCAAAACACCTCTGAACAACTTGGAATAGAATTTTGTTATGAAGTCGTAAATTCTGCCTTTTCATAGAGTATTGTTAGACCAAACAAACTCTTTGACCATGGGCCATCTCACTATAAACGAACGGCCGAACAACTTTATAGTACTGCCTGAAGAACTCTTCTTGCCTCCACCGCTTTCATTTCTCTTTCGCCGTAGAAACACTCCCAATCCAGCGGTCGAAAAGGTGAAAGAAAAATGAAAAAATAGCAAACATTAAGACCTCACCTCCTCAGGAGTAACTTAGGCTCCTCATCGAAAAGGATTCTCTTTCGTATTATGTGACCACTCTTGTTTGTGCGCGCCATACATCCGCTTCTCATTTCGAACGTTTAAAGTGATTGATTGAGTTCACCGTCAATCCGGTCAATCGTGTGAACCTAAAGATTACCTGATCATGGCATAAAAGCTCAGTTAACTTGAGGAAATTGTTCGTACGTGCTCAGTCACAAATTAGCGCCTCCTTCCACTACACTATACCCTTTTTAAAGTACTGGATGCATTGATTGAAATTCTCTACTCGCCATGGATACATAACTAATTAATCTTGTCTTAATATTCCTGATGAAATCGGTTCTTACTTCTCCTGGAAATTACGTCTTTGAATAAATCATTTCGCTGCAGTTTCCCTGAACAATTTTCACTTTCTACTACTTCTCGCCAATACCTGGAACCTTCTTAATTCAACCAGTCAACCCTTGCCCTTGCCTTCGCGGTGGACATTTTTTCGGCTCCTTCCCGGTATCCCAAAAAACCACCTTTCATCAAATCTGTCTTTCTGGTTGGTTTTTATAACTGCGATTAACTCGTGAAGTTCTTACTGCTGAATCAAAGTCATATATACCTATTCTCTTATATCTTTGACCTAATTTCATCGAAATTTCTTCTGAATTCGAGTAAATATAGCCTGAATGCGTGCCTCGGACTGCATAATTCTGTACCAGTCCGGGACTCTCCTCTGAGACTTCCACCAGCTTTGGACTTATTCATAGAACCAACTATGGACCGGACTTTTACTATTTGCATACACTCTTAGACATTTTTCGTCATAACTGTGTGCGTTCACATATTGATCGTTCTCTCAATTTGGTTTTTATCCAAATAAATTAGTTTAGATTCTAATAGGTTTTGATTTTCAGACGAAATGTTCACATTGGCGACGATATTGGGAGTGTTTTGTTGCGTTTTGGTTGTGACAACACAAAGCACACCATCGAACGAAGTGAGCTTCTCAATCATTTCTTTCCACTTCCCACATAGTCCTCCCACACCGTGTTTATGTATTACTTCTGTCCGTGTCTGCTTGTGTTTGTGGGTAAACTCGAGAGCATGAACTCCTCTCTGAGGTGTGCAAATGAGTTGAGCAAATATGCCAGCATAGAGGTTATCTTGGCGCTGAGCTGATCTTCCCATTGAACCGCTCTTTTGACATCGCCGACAGGAAGTAACCCTGTGAAAGTGGGAATAAACGCTGGTATCCTATCAATCACGATTTTTTCTGCTGAAGCTAGAAAACTCGTCCAAAACCACGCCAGCAAAAATTTCTTATCCTTTTCAAACAAATATTACCAAGCAATCCAATGTCTGGTGTCGGTTTTGCGAGAATTCTCACTACTTGACTTCAATTTGTCAAAAGGCTGAGGGAAAGGATGCATTACCCTCTCACATATTTTGGGGAGTGACTGATTGACAGTCAAGTTTTTACGTTGCAGTTAACCGAATCGAAGTTTTTTTCTTCGAAAATGAGAACAAACAAAAACCAGGATTTTTTCTCCCAGTACGATCCCTAGTAGCGAAGGCAAAGGGCCGAGGTAGGGCTATGGGGCATGTGGGGCGCAGAACTTCATCTCCATCATCTCTATACCTTCGCGAGGACTACTCTATACCTCTACACTCTACACCACTACATCTTTGACTCCCAAACCCATGACCCTACAGCAGAACTTCTGAGCTATTAGCAAAACATATTTTCCCAACCTGAACTCAAACCAGTACGCAAGCACCTATAAACCCTGTTTACCCACCATACTACTTCTTACTGGCAAAGGGAACCAAGCGGAACCTGATGCCTCTTCCCGTTTGCGTCTTCCCAGATCAAAGAATAGATAGGATCCATGAAGCATCCGCTGCATGCTCCCGAGCACTTACTAAGCTCCGGTCACGTTTTTGGAACCGGAAATAAGAAACAAAGGTTTGTGTGCCGACGAATTGGCGCCGAACCGTGAGGATGACGGCTCTTTCGGACTCAGTGGCTGTTTCCGGTGCCGCTGCGATCAGACCAACGATGCGATCGGATTGCCTCCAATGTTTGTTGGAGGTAATTGAAGCAAAGTGCAGCAGACCGGCTGACACAAACATCGGTTAATAATTGCATGACAGAAAAGTACGGGATGGTTGAAAAGTTTTGACGTTCATAACAAGACTATTTCCTCAAAAACAGGCTGCATAGAGGCATTAACTAGTTTGACAGAAAAAATACCGAGAAGGACACCTTAGTGAAATACTTTTTCCCGAAAGAAGTAAATATTTTGCCCAAACACTTTCAAAGTGCCTACCTTCTTCTTTGACTGAGGACCGGGAAAATGGTATGCCGTAAAGCTGGTAGGAATTCGATTTAAAGTTTCTAACTCATCGAAAGTTGGCAGACAATCGAAACTAGAGATTTTCTTCAGAGGCTTCTTAATTAACCCAATCCATTTCCGATAGATCTAAATGGTCCACGAATTGAAGAGCGGCTGAGCACAGGGAGGGACGGGAGAGGGCTGGCAGAGAAAGGGAAGAGCACAAGTTTAGTATCAACATCAAACGACTCGTCAGTACAAATCCAGTCACCTTGTAGAGTTACAAATTAGCTGCCATGGGAAAGGAGATATTCGATATTTGAGGAAAGAGGTCTCAATAAAAGGTAATAGATTTATCGAATCAAGACTACAGGCCTTTCACATAGCACTTAATTTGGGGTTTGATTGAAACACGAAGGAGTTAAATGGCGTTTTAGAAGAGATGGCTGTATTTTATTCGCATGCCTCGGTTTAGAGTTATACCACAACACACACACACACAATAACAAGTGTGGTTGCAAAAACGGCCCCTTGAACTGCCCGAACTGCACTCGTTGAATGTCAGTTCAACTTTTTAAGACCCTGACCAATTCGTCTCTTTCGATGAAGAACATGACGGAAACTGATGTAAACGTTACGGAATCATGGTTACTTCGTCTTTTCAAAACGAAAACAAAAGAAAACGCAAATGAAATTATTTGCAAGTTAGTGATCGTGAAACTCCGTGGACTGTAGGCTACCTCTCTCCATTACATGTAACAAGTAACCGAATCGCAAAACCTGTTGCCACCAAAATTCAAAATGCATTTTTAACCATCACTAGCCCAGGAGAGTTCGAAAACCAGAGTTATATTTCATCAGGCTACCACCTGCCGCCAAAACTCTTACGAAGCTTTCCGATTTGCGTACCTTTCCGATAACGTTCTTTAAGGAGTTCCTTGTCATAACTTCTGCGAAGTCGATGAATGTTCAAATCCAAAAAATTGTACAAATATATGCGGCGGGAGACTTTTCTATCGAGCTAATATTCTGATTGTCGTTCACAGGTTCTAGGCAAATGATTTTGAAATAGGAATTCTACCAAAAAGATATGTCTTTCTCTAATGTGATGATAATGCAAGTTGATATCGAATCTACTTTTTGACCGGCAATGACTTTGTAATTTTTACTCCTAAAACTTGACTGATTGAAAATATAGACTGTGTGCCGCAGCTTCATACCGCAATTATGTGGTTTGAGTTCCCTACCCAAGGAGCGAGTTTGAGTACCTACGAGAGTGAGCTCACATTGCGAACAGTGTCAGCAGTGAAGAAAACGGGAGCAACGCAAAACCCTCAGCCTTGAGAATTTAATCCAAGAGCATATTTTGTTGATGTTCAAAATAAAGACGTTCGCATGAGCATGGCGCATCTTACGTCCAAGCAAATCAATTTTTGGAACACCGTCAAGCCCAAAAACACAAGGAAAAAAATTGTTCAAAAAGAGTAATCCAAAAATCATAGCTCTAACTCAACTAAGCCTTCAAAATAAAGATAAAATAAAAAATTAAGATCGCCTAAGTAGTAGTAACATAAAGAAGTTACAAGTAGTAAGTAAATAAGACGTAATAATTGGTAATATAACAAAACACATTGAAAGAAAGTCTTAAAAAGTCTCCCTTTTCGGTAGTACAAATCCCGAAACTCGTTTCGCTTTTTCTTTATAATCGCCGTTCTATAGGTGTAACTCGGGTGGATAGGTGGCTATTTGTGGGGATTTCTGCAAAGTTAACATCCATACCACAAGAAACCGGTTCAAGACCGTGACGGCCGATCTTAGACAAACACAAAACAAACATACGAGGAACGTCATCGATATACGGGATTGAACTATTCAATAGTCAATTCAAAAATCACCTACATTGAAAATAAGTATCGGTGTGTTTCTAGGTCATCGAATCTCCCACAAAAATTTTAGGGTTGATCGCTGGCATAGATTTAGTAGGTGGACTGCGAATGAATCATCCATATAAGTGCAAAATCGCATCTAAAGTTCGATATTGAGCTCGGATACATGGCTTACTCCGGCAGACACATCTTTGGCGCAGTGACAATTCAAAACTGCCCTAATTTTTTTGCTTTTTTTTTGCACAGTCTTTCATTTCTTCTTATCTAGTTGAACTTTTCAGGAATATGATGTGATTATTGTTGGCGCAGGTCTCACAGGGTTAAGCGCAGCACGAGAGATAGCAAGAGCCGTCCCCGGAGCACGTGTAAAGGTGTTGGAAGCTAGAGATCAGGTAAGGCACATTCGTGTTTCGCAATAAGATTGGCCAAAAACTGTTTTCAGGTGGGCGGTCGATTACGAGCAAGGTCCATGAAAACGGATGAGGGTGAAGCTTGGCTAGATACAGGTATGGCTATTGGCGTTAACTGGATCTGAACCTTTAACTACTGCTCAGAGTTTTGGAAACGTGAAAACTCGAAATTAGCGTCCAGCATTATATGTATGGACCGGTCCTGTAAAACGTCAACAGTGTATAGTCATATAATCAGAATTCAGACAGTTTTTGTGTCTGACTGAGCGTTTTCACGTTTTATAAGATAGACATTCATCTGATACTGGTCGACGACTCCACGTTTCCACGATTCTCCAAGTACAAACAACACTTTAATTGTCGTCTATACTTTGTAAGAAATTTTTGGAGCTACTGCCCTCGCTGAATTAGGCAGGATCTCTGTAGCTATCTATACGGTTAGAGGGTATGGATAAAAAGGCACCGATTGAGCTTGCGCTAAAACTCGCTCAAGGAGGTTAACCTCTTCGATGTGGTTCTTAGGTCTTCATATCTCCCACACGGGTTTTAGACAGAGATTCATGGCCAGCGTAAATTCATCAGGTTGACAGCGGTGAAATTCGAGTACTCTGCCTTCACCTCACCAGATCTGACTGCAACAGAGTTCACGAAACGGTGTTTTACTTCGAAGGAACACCTCCTATCCCATTCTGCACCTTCCCTGGCATATCGCTGCTTCTAATGTAAGCGAATGGGTTCCGCCACTGCCCAAGTTAGAGAGTAGTCCTCGGGGTGGGTTTGAATAAAAACTCTTGCACCTACCGAAGCGGTACCATATTACGAATAGAATAATGTTATAAAAGCCAAAGAGCTCTTCAAATTCATTTTTCTGTTTTCTATAGGAGTTTTTTAACGATTACTCTTTCTCGTTTAGGATCGCAATTCATTTCACCGGCGGCAACAGCATTGTCTTCCCTGGCCGACGAATTAGGGTTACCTTTGTTCCCTCAGACCAATTGCGGAGTTCGAACACTGGATATTCGAGCAAAGCGGTCAGCTCCATTTCTTCTGCTTTTGAATTTTCTCTCGGTTCTGACAAAAACACTTCCATTGCTAATCGTGCCTTCGAATACACCCCAAAACAACCGTAGCGCGATAAATGGCGCGGTGATTTCAAGGAGGCTCTGCTATATGCCAATACATGTTTACAGCCTCGTTTTAAGATGATTTGAAGAGGCAGCGAGCTAAAAGTGGCTGTAAAGATGAGTGTTTGCGTTTGCGAACGCTACTTGGAAGTTGCTAGGTCACTTGTCGCGCTCTACGCTGCGTGCGCGAGTTATGAATGATTACCACTTTCGCCTATCGCGAAATCATGCGGAGCTGGATAGCAATTAACCATCGTCTACTGCCACAGGCTGTACGACCAGCATTAGATGTTAGGGGAATCTGCCGTTCGCTTGTCGCCCACTGAAGCTATTAGCCTACATAAAAACCTACCTTACTACATAAATAATCATCAAAGTTTTGATGGCCGCTTGGGGACATACACCCAACGAGGCCGTTTATGGGCACGCATCCCCCACAACATTTTACGCACAGTATCACGGGAAGTGCCATGAGGCCAAGCGAATGTTCAGAAACTGAGTGCTTTCATTTCCGATAGGAGTCTCATACCATTTACTGGATTCCATATGGATATAATGTGTGGTTTGCTCGAGCGGCTGTCCATAATTTGATCCCAAAACTGTACATATGGTGGGCGTGCCACGGCGGTTCAAAATGGTACAGTGATAGGAATGTAAAAAGAAAGAGAAAAATTTGTTGGACTTTGAGGACACGATTCTGACCATATTCCCCAGTCTCTGCATTACTCTGCACTTCTGGATCCTTCTGAATCTCGGATCAAGTGCCGCGTACCTTGATGCGTGCCTCGCCCACCAGAGGGAGCATCCTTGACATTTCCCTAATTGTTCCAGTTCCACCCTTCCCATAACCCGAGAATTTCCAAGGAGATCTGGGATTTTTGTTCTACACACAGTACTACAAGAGTACTAATAGGTGCAGCACATCAAATAGCCGCGAAAGCTGGGAGCATTGGCTGCTCCCACACGCCGTAGCACTTTTGTCAACGGTGAATTCTGCGTACAAGCAGTTACTAAAAAAACGATAATATTTACAATCAGGCAGTATTTGGAATATGTGAACATAATAGCCTTCAGATTGGCGCAATCGGACCCACTCACGAATCATGAATCGTTTGCCGACGTTCTTAATTCTACCGAGCTGCCACGGTGGGCATCCACGAATGTTCACGATTACTTGGTCAATTCCGGACATCCGAGGTACACAATGGACACAGCTAATCGCCTACTTCAGGTCAGTGCACAACTGTTACAGATTCCGATAGCCCAGAAAACTTTAGTGCAATACTTCATCGATTCAAGCATCCAATTGTTAATCCGTTATCTTCCATAAAATTGCAGACTAGAGTAGAGGAGTACAACCGAGAAATAGAGCAGCATAGGCTATTTCAAAGATGTGAGTCGCCGAGTCCATATACCCAATGCTGTCATGAGAGACATCTCATCCATAGAATGTGTATTTCGTTGGAGCAAGTGCCCAGGGGCATCAGTCTAGTCCCTTTTTATTCTTCTACACCACGTTGGAGTCAAGAGTAAAGGCACGAAATCAGCCTCGAAACAATTTTGGGATGGACAGTTTTTGGGGGAGGGTGAAAAACTCCACTTTCCGAGTAATTCCAAGCACCGAGTACGAGAAATCACATTTAGTCGAGGTTAATCGCCGTTGTGCGTTTCTTTTTCGCTCGTTAGATTTTTTTCGGTAAGTCGTTTGCCCTTGAACATTCCGTGACACGAGAAAGTGACTTGAAAAATCTCGGTGTTCCTTTGCGAAGGGCATAGTTCTGCCGTAAAGGCACAACTAGTTCAGCACGCTCTGTGCAAGCAAGAATCTCCTGTGCTCAACGATATGTTGCACAACCATGAGGGGTGAAGGGGTCAAGGTAGGGAGTAACAAGAGCTCAAACGTGTCGAACAGGGCTACAGGGCGAGGTCGAGGGTGCTGTGTTGTGTATATGATATGGTGCAACACTGAATGATAATAAGCAGTATTCGAGCATTCTCTAACCATTGCTAGGCCATGCCTCTATTACCACAACCACTCCTGAGTTGACGTCCACCATGGATTTCTCCACAGATTTAGTTTTTTTGCCCATTATCTCACATATACCTTCCCTAACCCTTCAGTGCCGAAAGCGTGTTGCAATCCCTGGCACATGAGACCACCACATTCAAGCATCCCCAATTTGGAGGTGATTTGGCCGTTCGCACCCGGTCACGGACGGCGCTTGAACGTAGAGGCCGCTGTTGTTTCTCATCTTATCAAAGCTGCTTAGCTCTTCAAGTGAACGCTATTGAAACAGGACCGACTGTGACATGAAGCGAAACCGTTTCGCTCCAAAGCTGTTGACAGAACGTCATATGAGTAATGACCTCATCCGGGAATCCAAATCCCTTCTTTCGGGTTCCTTCAACCAGCACAGAGACTGATGTTCGAAAACCTTACTGGTTCAGTCAGATGAAACGTAGTAACGAAAAGGAATACATAGCAGCAATGTATGTATGATTATTCACCTTTTCCAGACACTATTCGACTCACCGGACAAGTCTGTTTCAATTCTGCACCTACTTCTAGCCACTGCCAGTGAGAATGCCACTGTAGCTGATCTACTCTCTCGGTACGGCCACGGTCAGGCTCTATTGATGCAAGGTGGTCTTAATAGGTTGACCAGGTGAGCAGACTTCTTCATGAAGTGACAGATAGGAAAACCAGCAAGCTGAGAACGACTGCTTATAGAGCCATGGCTGAGAATATGGACGTGGAGTTGAACCAGACGGTCACTAGCGTGGATGAAGGTAATTCTTATTTCCTTTCCTTTCTTTTTTTTCCTTATTCTTATTTCCTATGAGTTGCTTGTGTATACAGACAATTCTTTACAATCCTCAAATGTGGATACAACACATTGAGTAAACCCATTGCACATTTAATATTTAATATTTAATATTTAATACAACAGTTGCGTAGTAATATTTAATATTACTACGCAACTGTTGTTTCACGGGGTAGTAGCATGGAGATCAACCAGGACGACAGACTTACTGGGAAAAGAAGACATCTCTTGCTAGACATGCTAGACACGGTTTTCGAATCTAAACGGACTGAACAAGAAGTGGGAGCATCTTTTATAGGGTTGGAGAAGCTCTACGAAGGGAAGCATACTTTCAACAAAGTTACTGTTGATGATTTCAACTCAGAGATTGGCCTCAAAAGGGCAACCGAAGAGCCTTACATAGAGACTCACACAACAGGATAAAAAGAACAGGGTGAAAGAATGTCCAAGTCGGTAATGTTGACCAGGATCACCCGACGTAATTTGCTAGCCCAGAAGCTCTTTCACGCACGATGGACTCGAGAGTCACATGGTAGACTCAAACAAAAAGAAACTTTAGTTTGAAAGGCAATTCCAAAATGGGTGAAACTTCCTGCACATTCCCATATGAACGAAAATACATTGCTGTGCATCTGGTATATAGTAGGGCTCTACCTATGCCAATCAATTCCAGGAGATTCCGGTGTGACTGTGAATACGCCCAATAAGACGTATAAAGCACAGCAAGTGATTGTCACTACGCCTCCAGTGGTGACATCCTCTATTCAGTTCACTCCTCCACTCCAACCTCAATACGCTAAGTTCATCGGTAACTCCTCTTTGAGTTTCATCGAAACCTGATCCCCTTCTAACTTAAAAATTGCTTCAGAGAGCTATCGTCCAACCGGTCGAGCTCGCTATTTTACGATGACATTTGCGAGTCCATTTTGGAGAGGGAAAGGAAAAAATGGTCAGGTAAGTACACATTGGTATAACTCATAGATGACCGATCAATCAAAAATGGATAGTAGCGAAAAAGATTGCTGAGGTTTCTCGCAGTTTTAGGGCTGGGAACTAGTTAGGCACTGGAAGGTAGCGTCGTTGTTCTGAATAGGAGTCCCTACAGTGAATTTCTTTTAGCCATCATACTGTGTCATATACCTTGCAGTACGTTCACCTGCTCTAATGAAAAGTGCTTCATTTTCTTATCTACTCACTTAACTGTCCCACTGATCACTCGCCAATAACGTTTCGATCAGTCCCTGTCGTTAGTGTAGTCAAGTGGAACCTCCACGGTCAAGGAACTTAAAGGCACAGATCACGATAGAAATGATACGATACGACCAGGAGATACCCCATATGATGAATCTGTGGCGCTCTCGTACCATATGTGGTCATCAGGTGGGAAAACAGCCCTAGATAGGGTGTTGTAAAGGCTCAAGGATTGTCCCTTGTGCGCGCGGACAGTTCCAGCGGCATTGTAGTGGTTTAAATTGCAACAAAAGCACATAGTAGCGAAACGTTCATATCTGTCAATGAGATGATTCCCTTTTTAACGATGTGATATTAACCAAACGCAAAGGTGGTGAACATTTGGTGTGGTGGAGAAAAATTTAAAATTAAATTCCATTGTTCAAGCCACCATTTTAAAGCTTCTGGACTCAAACCTGCTTTTCAAAGCCGCGTAATTGAATCTCTCGCTTGCGGCGTAAGGAAAAGAGCCTAGGAAAGTAGTTCTTCACCCAAAAGAGCCCTGATCTTTATTGCCCTGCTGGTCCTGTATCCGTCTCTCTCTCATACACAGTGCACAATTAGCACTATAACATGAAGCACAGTTAATCAAATGAATGAATTTGGTGGTAGGAAGTAGCAGAAATCGGTGTGTACCATATAATAGGATGCAAAGAGAATCTGCCAGATCTAACAATCACCCCATTCCTACGAGCCCATTACAAACGTATCAGACTGCTCAAGAAAAAGAGGACTTAGCTTTGGGTTATTCGGAGCGGAGGTCAATTTGCAATGCTCCAGAATATCGAATCGCTCGAAGATATCGATTCAAAGATCTTGAAACTCTTACTTTGGAGGTAAAAAAAAGTAATTGAATAAATGCTAAAAAAGAATGCTGAAAACGTACCAAACTATAAGTCTTCATTTGCAGATCATCCATACTAATCCACAGGGCCCACTCGTATGGTTGACGACATTCGATGTTGGGAAACCCACAATGTGTGGTAAGCGGAATGGCCGGAAACATTTTTTTTTTGAATTCTACTCTCTTTACACATACAAAATGATTATGTATTATTCGCTTAA